GAAGATGCCTTTTATTGTACGATTTTTATCTCTTAATATAATCATGTATCTTAGAATTCTAAGGACATGAGCAAACAGATAGGAAATCCTTTTAGCACACTTCGTCTTTCTTTCCGCTATTCGAATGATAAATTTTTCGTCGGTAGCTAGAAAGAGGATTAAGCTGCTCGTTTTGCATAGACAATGAGACACTCCATTCTATTATTTTTAAACCAAAACGTAAATTATTCTGTGAATTATAGTTAAAAGTTCTTCACATACAATCACGGGATAATTTTGTATCATGTTACGTTAAATTTACGGTATTGTATTTTATTCGATTGTTTTTGATCTGTGTAAAGAAGTGAATATTGAAAAATATCATGAACTTTTACTTCTTTAATTTTAAAGAGATAATTAAATTTTACGATTTTGAAGCAAATGATACATACACATTTATATAATATATAATGTGTATGTACGAGTATATAAAGTAGACAGTAAAATATAAATTATAAAGTATAAAATATATATATAAAATATGTATGTATGTAATAGTTATAAACGAGTTACTGCTCATAATTTGACGTTAATTAATAGTATCTAAACAGGATTTTCTCTTCGAGTTACTAATTAGTTGTAAAGTTGTGTTAACAAGCTGCTATCGACTATTATATAAATTAAAATATGTATCGTGAATGCAATTGCAAAAAATATATGTTTCCCGAAGACTGATTAAATAATGGTTGTCTAACACCAGATACTAAATCTGGTTTACACTATTGAATGGTCCAGTTAACCTTCAACCATTAATTCAAAATGCAAATTAAAGTGGCTTTTCCATTGTTCCTACTCTCATGTAACATGTATGACAAGTTTTGCAAGAAACAACAGTACTCCTAGTCAATTTTAGATAATCAAATAATTCATCGGTCAGCTTTTCAATTTACATATTGCATAATATCATAATATAATTATAATTATATATGTATAAATAACTTGAAATAGGTAATGAGAGAAAAGGGATGACAGGAATTAATTAAATGTATCAACTAAACGTGCGTATATCATTGCATGTATTAACAATTTGTAATATTAGTTTTGGTAATTAGTATATTTTTTACATGTATTTGTATAAAGTAACACATTAGTATAACTTGTACCCCATTTATTTAAATATATCCATGCGCGCTATATTTTTATGTGTTACTTTCTCGATTCGAGGTGACAAAAGAATCTTAATCTTATTAATCAAAGGATGGCATTTTCAAGAACAGTAAAAATGATATAAACTATTAGGTGTTGGAATTAATTCGTAGCGTTTTTTAATGAAAGAATGTTATTTATTTCACATGAGCATTAAAAAATACATTAATGAAAGTACTTCCCATCACTTGTAAAACGCTACGAATTAATTCCAACACCTAATATAATGAATAAAAGAGAAACAAAACAGAGATTTTTTAAATAATCTTTGCACCTTAAGAGAGATTATTGAAATTATTTATAAGTTTACACCACGAAAGAAGAGATTTCAGCTAAAAAATTGAACTAAATCCGTCATGAAGTAAAGAGAATTTTCATTAAATAATAATAGTCTAGGAACGATAACTGTTTGTGAAACGCAACAGAAAATCGTAATGCATTATGCATAATGTCTCAGGAGGTCTTATTATTCAACGTATCGTGCATCTGACGCCTGCCAAACTTTTTGAAACTCATAAAAAGAGAAAGTAATATGAGAGCTATCTCGTGCATGTCTCGTTAATTAATTTATTCAATAACTTTATTTCTGTCCCATTCTCGCGAAATTTTACGTTGCAAGAACGGAATTAGATATTGGAACAACAAACACAATGTTATACAAGGTGATTTTGAAGTAAGTGTAAAAAATTTAAGGAATAGTCCTTGTCTTATTTTTTGAAAACACGATTCTATGAACACATGTCCTAAAGTGCTTTGTTTTCAAAATACTTGATGTTAAAGTTGAGAAAAGAAATACGAAAATTTTGAAAATGTAGAAAACGCTTAGAGACATTTTAATCAAATTTGATGTGCTTACATATTAGGAATTATTTTTGAGTGCCAATGAGAATAAATTTTTAGATTCATAAAAGTACTTAAAAATAAAGCACTTTAGGACGTATAAATATATTATACAATAATAGGACCTTATTTTTTTATAAAATAAATCGAAGAATATATTTTTTTACATTTACTTATGAATTACCCTGTATATTGATGTAATATATTTTTATCCTTCAGGTTTTTATTCTTTAAAACCGGCCTCTGATTAATAATCATGTTGGGGTAAATCCTTATGGACCGATAAGATATAAGATCAAATAGCCCATGTGGGACAATATCCTTCCCTGAGTTTTATAAAACCTCATGCGCGTTTGGATATAACCTAGTTTTACGCCAAGCTTTTCAGTAAAAGAATTATTAATCTAAGAAAGAAAGGGAGAGGAGTGAGAGAGAGAGAGAGAGAGAGAGAGAGAGAGAGAGAGTGTGCGTGTGTAAAAGAGAGTGACGATCGGTACATGGAAAAATTGAGGGAATCTTTTGATATTAAATTCCATTGAGAAATTTTCAATTAAATTTTTTATTAATTTTCAAAGTTTAGCATATATTTTCCCAGTGGAAGAAGAATTAAAAACTCCTCTTCATAATTGCTTGATTTGTCGAAATGCATATAGATAGTTTAACAAGTATAGTTTAACAAAGGGCGTAAACTTTTTTAAATTTATTTCTTGTTCTCTTATTTATTGTGCTCCGTGATATATCCGCGGCAAACACATGATACAAAAATCCCTTTGCAGTTTATAACCAATTTTCTAGTGCAATAAATATAGCCTTTGACAACGTCGAGTATATCAACAAAACCAAAAATTGAATGAAAGCACATACAAATATAATTTATAGATATCTCTGTGTTAATCGATGGGTTGCGCAACAGAAAAAAGCTGTAGTATATATTTTATAATTGATTTTCCTTTGATTTATTTTATGTCGATATCGCCAAATGATGGATATTTGTTTTTGTTATATCAAATTTAATGAGGGAATAAAATTATTTAAATATAATTAACAATAAATTCAGATTAATGGAATCAATGAAACGTTTATAACGCCATTCCTCATCTGCTCTGTGTTTTCTAGTCAGCATAAGTAAAAAAGTTGTGTTATTCTTCGATTTAAAATCCATTCGGAAAAGCGCAGAAACTTTTTCTATACCTAGAAATCAACGCGCACAAACAATAAAATGGAACACTTCTTCAACGTCGTTGGAGGAAAAGTTGGAGAACTGAAGGACATGTCTAATAATAAGATCAGGAGAGAGCGAAGAAAGATGCTTGATCAAAAAATAATCCAGACCACAGAATTGTGTTGAAAAAAGTTTATTAAACATTTCTGCATAATATCTATCTGTAAAGTCGATCAAATCTTATTCTATTTCGATATACATCTCGCAAGAAGAACTTTCGAATGTTTCTTGAATATTTCAGAAGAATATTAAACGTTGTGAGGTTCATTTTATTACTTATTATACAATTTGCATCTTTGCGCGAATAATTATTTTTTAATGCTGTTGAGCTGCGATGTCCATCTTATTATAATTATATAATTTACGCAGTATTTTATATTTTCTTATGTAATATAACGAGCGTGATAGTTTTGTAAAGAGGGAGATATATACTTATATAAATCTTTCTAAATATTTCTGATAAATAAATAACGTATATTGCAATTAAAATATCATATAAAATTGATTAAAAAATGTATCTAAACAAACACAGTTATTCGATGAATGTATCGTTTAAAAAGTCTTCTCTTATTGCTGAAATATTCGTATCATTTTCTAAATGTAACGAAACTCGACGTTTGACTAATAAAATATTGCTATACAGTGCTTCATTAGTAAAATATTTCTTTGAAAAGTATGTTGTACAGAAATACAATAGAGATGAAGTAAATCTTTTAGAACGGTTACGTTTCACGAAATCGATGCGATGTTACGTAACACGAGAAACGTTTACGTTTTCACGAACGTGATAGACTGAAACGCCATTATATAAATATGAGAGAGCATGAACAAATACAACTTTGATGCGCCATGTGGACAAGTAATGTGGTTGTATACTTTACGCTATCATTTAAGGGTTATTCTTTGACAGATCCATGAATCGTGTGCAACAGGTGTATCAAAAATATGAACGAAAGATATGCGAACTACGTATCATACGGCACATTTCTATGTTGAGTAATGTACCTTATGAAAGATTCTTGAACATCACGTGCCGGGCATTTCTCGAAGCGCGAAATTTCGCCATTTTCAGAAAATCATGCAAAATTGAATTAACCGCGGTTTATGCTGCAATTGCAATAAGTGTAAAATATTTAATAACTAGGTACGCGCAAACATGAAATTTAAAACCGTCTCTCAAAATTAGCGTAAGTAACATAAATGAGCAGGCGTTAAGCAGAAATGGTATAACTGTGTTTGTTTTCCGCGTAAAACTGTGTTTACTAGATAAATATACTTTATAGCTCCAGGTTAAGAGCTCGCCTGTGGAACTGCCGAAAGCATTTTGTCATTTTTTTAATTCAAACGTAAGATATTATCTCGTTAAAATCAGGTTAATTATTAATCTTTAGGGAACGGTGTTTTACGCTATCGCGAATATTTATAGCGTTATTATATTATTGTTGTACTTAAAGGATAAGATAAGAAAAAACTGCGATGCAAAAATACAATTTTTAATTTACGTCCATCACTTTGAAATATATATATTATATTATTGTTATTAAGAATATATTAATCGATCATACGTAACGCTCTACTGACAAGTATTAATTTTAATAATTTTATAAGTTCGTTGAGGTACTTATAATACATTTGACAAATTAATTTCTTTCATACATGTAGAATTATTATATATCCATAAGATTTTTATTCTTTATTCGATTAAAATGTCTACAAAAGCATTGATTTTTTTAAAATTATTAACCGCGCGATCAATTTGAATATAAAAATAATTCTCGACGCGAATTTGGAAAGACACAACACGGATTTTTTTTCTTAATACAGATATTGGTTTTTATAATCTAACTGAAGCTATAAAAAAATGAGATCTGAGTTTCTGTTAGGCCAAAGATTTCGTATATAGAACATTGGGAATCACGTCACAGAACATTGGAACTCACGTCAACGTTTCACTTCAGTCAATCGTAAAGGAAGTGGAGATTGTCCACGCAGGAAGATCTCGATGAGCAATGAGACGGTTCGGCATGTGCGGGTTTCTTACCACTTGTGCGAGAAGCGATCTTGTCGACGGGCGGCCAGGATATTTTCAGAAGAAAGTCTTCCTCCTCACGAGGTTGGGGCAGAGATACATTCGGTCGCACCGCCACGTCACATAATCTACACGACTTATACTAGACACGATCTTCCTCCTCCAGCAACCGCACTACCTCTGAAATAATATTTCCTTATCGTGAAGTGACGATAGAGTAGTAAATAACAATTCGGATTTTGCGGATATTCAAATAATTCGAGATGATTATTCGTTTGGATTTGCGAATAATCCAAATCTTGACGTTCTCAAATTTACGCGAATCTTTGAAATATCTATAATCTGAATCAGAATATAAAGTTATAAAAAATACTGTATATTTTTGTATTTTTTGTAATCGGTATATAATAAAAATATATATACTTAAAATTTATGTGCCAGGTAAATTTGCAAATTCGCATAGATTGTTAACACATCTCTTTTAAAATTAAAATTCAGATGTGATTCGTTGTGATCTTTTGTAATCGCATAATAATTATTTCGAATAATTCAAGTTTTCAATTATCCGAATATATAGTTTTAGTGAATATAGCAGTTTTAGTGAAAACCACTTATTAAAATACATACCATTTTTCACACACATATACCTACACACATTTACACGAGTTAATATTTTGCACAGATAAAATAAAGATTACGACGAAATGCATACTTGGTGAATTTTCGAGGATAAAAATGGGACAATGCATTTATTCATCGAGAGAAAGAAAGAGAGAAAAAGAGAAAAGGAGAACCGTGTAGTATTATCTCCACAAAGTTCGGATAGAATATTTCGAGATAAGCAGCGCTTATAGTTTCTATGAAATTCAATCATTACTGTTCATTACGTTATATACAATCCGCTTAAGTACTACATCCATTACTACATCAGTTATATGCATATGGTATTCGAAATTTGTGGCGTTTAAATTCAAGATTACCACTAGTTCCTTTTTTATAACTAAAATAACAATGACTTTTTTCATTTTTCAAGTATATATCAGTAATTTAAGATTCTAAGCAGAGATGGCAAGTTTCAGTTCGCAATTGGACATAATCATGTAATATAAAACCAATTCCAAAGCCAATATCCTTGTTAGCATTCTTACAGAAACATTTTACTTTCACTTTTTCTGTAAAAATACTGAGAGAAAATTTTATTCTGTTACAATCTTAATATACTGCGTTAAAAACAAACAGATAAAGTATCATAAATATTATTTAAATTTTATATATCACATGTTGCAAAATATGTCAAAATGTATTAACATTATATAATATTTTGCAATATTATAATCCAAATCTCAAAAATTAATGATTAATTTCACATATCAGTTTAATATCGGCTGTATAGAAATATTATTTATTTAAATATTGCTTTTATTTTTCTGTATTATTCATGGAAAATCTGTTAAAACAATAAATCTAGTAGTATTAAATCCTGCATCGTGCGATTTTGTATTTTATTGTCATTTTACTATCAGACACGCAGACCAAGAGCATTTTCATAGGATGGATACAATAATTAAGCTTTGGACAAGTAGGAATTAGAGCAGGACTAATTGTTCATTCAAAAGTTTAGGGAAATGTACGGTATATATATACACGGTTAATGTAAACCGGTATCGTGGAAATTACATCGCGGGAACTCTAACGTGTACCATGAGTAGCTAGCGGATGTGGCAGACCATTATCGATCACGTTGATGCTTCAGTAAACTGTTATCAACCAGACTAAACAAGAGGTAAATATTTGTTTTATTTATTTTTTTTTTATAAATATCAGGCATGAATAGAAAAACCGTGATTTTAAAACAAATAAAAAAAATCTCTTAAAATTTTACGTGATAAAACGACAAAATCTTGAATGTGACGACATCGCATAATACTATGATAATTTGATGAAATTCTGGTCGTTATGTATACACTGTATTGCATAATATCACGGTATCATAATAGAATCTTGGAAATTTGGATTCGTGTTGTGTGCAATCGAATATCTGGGAATATAATACGTATAACAAAATGATCAATTTAGCAATGATACCTGATCTAGCGGCGAGAGACGCTTTGCCCAGATACACTGTTGAGTCGTTTCCACTTAATTCGCTGTTATTGCCAACTTGTCCGGCATTTCCGGTGGCCGCCATTGCGATGTCGCTGTGTCTGCAACCTACCCTAAAATAAAATGCACGCTCGTTTACGCGAAAGTTTATTTTCAGTTTAAAAACATTTGCATCAGACGTTAATTCGTGTGACTTTTTCCTTAAAAATCTTGCAATTGAATCAATATATCCTTTCTTTTTCCCGAGGTACTTTTAAAAATATTATCCAAAGTTCATTAACAGAGTACTACTACGGAGACTTTAATGCACATACTATTTTATAATTTTAATTATGTTTTATATTTAACTTAAAAGTATTTTATAGAACAAACTTCGTCACTTTATGATTTTTGTCTAAAGGCGAAAACGTATTAGCAAGTTTGGGGCTTAAGAACGGCTGTTACGTAATTGCAAGTCTTTCTATCCGATTGCGGAAGCCCGACGTATCTTCCGCGAAATTAATCCTGCACTCCATCAGCCAAACAACTCGTAAAGAGGGCCGACTTGATGGTGAAGCTTCGCCTTACGTCGTGATAAATCCTTTTAAATCGCCACTGTAACGAAAAACGTATACGCATGGCTTCATCTAGACTTTTACCTCCAACAGCGGTGGCAGTTGAAGAGCCCGAGGAATGCTTGGCGAAATTTTCTGTTCATGAAACAGTACGTGATCGGATTGCAGCAGCTCGAGACGTATGCCAACAATTGCACTAGGCTAATGCCGGTGCTACCGACAACCGAGTACACCAGTTCGGGCGAGAAAAGGTACCACGTATTGATTACGTGCAACGGTGCCCAGCACACGAAGAACTCGAGGACTATTACGAAGAGCATCCTGATCACCTGCAACACCGATGGTATTTCGCGTTTAATGAATAAGTGGTGAGCACAGTTCACCTGTTTCAGGTGAACATGTTTCTAACTGGGTCTCATATTACATAAAGCGAGTGTTGTCTTGTTGTATATTCCGGTATCACGAGTGTCGGTTCGCTTAAGCATGGCATGTCCCGTGTGCGCGAGATTAAATCGTCTTACGTGCAAATATATGGAAAATATTACGGTCTCTCTAAATATTATGTTCTGTATTTGCAAAGTAGGAATATAGGATTCTTTGGGGGAGGGAGTCGCGCCCCAAGTGGATAATAAAAGGTTAATACAGCCACGAAGAGCTGATAAACATCTTGCGGCTTGGCGTGCACCAGGCGAGGCGTTTTTCCGACGCTTGCTCCAGATCCCACGATTTCGTAGAAACGAGAAATGCCGAACGCTACGGCGAGGGAACTTACAATGCGCGCTTTATATGCATGCAAGGCTCACATGTGATCTTGCGTTAAATATTTGATACGGAAATTGTGATTTGCTCTGTTGAGAGAGCAATCCAATTCGATCAATCAGGATTCTGTATGTACCTTCTTCTTCGCCTCGATGCTCTTCCCCATGTAATTACTACGTATCACGTGTTGTCTGGTGAGTGGACAAGGTGAATCCTGCTGATCCTCGTTAGCGATATCCTTCGTGTCTCGCGTTAAGCAGCCACTTCCGTTCGCTCGTATCTGAATCCGGGATGCCTGAGACAAATCTGTACCGTGACACTTGCCAGTAAGCACCCTGGAAACTACTGTCCGTGGTAACCGCATCTTCTTTTGGAAAAAGAGGAAGAGAAACGCGATGTCTCGGTTAACTACTACATACGCTCGGTGTGAAGGTTCTCAAGACGGTAGATAGATTAATCTGCTATCCTAATTGCGTGAATTTATCTGATGTTTAGCCGCGAGCTATTTCATTGGATCATGAAATCTCAATTAGCCAGAGGAAGTTAATGATGCAGTTGGTCACTTTCGTAAATTACAATCGAAACCACGATCTTGTTGTTAATTAATAAAGTGGTAATGAAAATAATAGAATTTAGTATTAATCTCGAGAATAATTACAATATTATTAATACAGATATGTTTTAATACATTTATTGAATGTCACGTTTAATTACGTATTTTAAGCTTTACAATGAATAAAATAGAATCCAATCACGCTAATCGTAATGTTGAATCTCATGAAGTATTTAAAATACAAATATATTGAAAGAAAATAAAAATTTCACATTTTTAATTTCTTTCCATCTTATTTTTTTATTTGATAAAAATTTCTATTAAATTTCAGGTTTTTTTGTATGCGTTTTTTAAAAACAATTTTTAAAATATCCGTTATGAAAAATAGTAAGAAGATAATTTCATCTCGCTTTTTCATATTAGAATTCATTATTTAAATTCGGATCTTACAAGTCCAATGTTACAGAATCAAGAGAAAGTAATATTACAGATCAAATAATTTAAGCAATTAATGCGTTTAACTTCTGGCCTCGGTTTTCATTACATAGATCATGATAATCGGAATTTCTATTCCAAGATAATGTTTGCTCAGTATTTTCTCACCCTAGATGGTACACCTTGAGAAGCGCCTTGAAAATGCCTCGAGGAAGACGAGAAGTTGCGCCGCAATCTCGAAGTCGGGCCGCAAGCATCAAATACCATTGTGGTCCTTGCATCTCGATCATTATTGTTGTTGTAACTCGAGCCTCGAATCCTTGCGTTAGATTCCATTCTCCCGACTGTAATTCATAACGTTTACAACTTTGAATCTTAATAATACAGACAAATATAAAAATAAAATGGCCAAAAAAGTTATATTGATATATCTCATAAATTTTCCATCCAATAAATAGATTTTGTAACAGAATTAGTATAAATAAAATGAAATTAACATAGTAGCAGTTTTGGAAAATATTTTTCCAAGACCCTCCCGATACCGACGCGCGAAAATTGCTACTGTCATATCTACGTTCCGTATATCGAAGCGACACTTCACTTACGTCTTCTGGTACATGTCGATGACTGTCGGATCTCGAGTTTCAAGCCACGCCAAAGTTTTATCGCTATCAGTGAGTAAGCCAAACTCATAAGCAGCAATGGTATCAGAAGTAGTGTACCGTCTAGGAAGAGATTGTAAGCTCTCTCGGCGCCGACGCTCGGCCATTCCTCGCGACACTTACGCCTTCCTAAAATTGCCACATGATACGAAAAAGTTCTTTGACCGTTCGGTCGTAAAACATGAGTTCTGATATAATTAACAACAGAGAAGAGATCGTACCGCCACATCCTTATCTACATTTTCTCAACGCAAAATAATTACACGGTTAGTATAAGGATCTATCTTCCTTATTTCTTTGCGCGGAAAAGTTAGATGTAACCATTATTTAAAGTCGTTAATTAAAATTAGATATTCATTTGTTCATAATTTGTAAGCTTTATTAACAAATAAAAAGTTGCGTAATTTCTTTTTTTTACCGTGATGAATTATTTTTTACCGTGAGATTTATTTTCACTAAAACATCAATAATGCATCTTATTTTGTGCAATATAATTCTTTTATATATATATATGTATATATTGTACATATGTATATATACACTTAATCGATAATATATCGATATTGCTGTGCAATTGACTTTCATTGCTTCAATATCAAGCTCAGCAAGTCACATATGGTATCGATTACATTGATATTGCTGCGCAGTTGACTTACAATAGCTCAATATTAAGTTCGAGAAACGTCAAGTGATTAGTATTGCAAGAGTTTCATCGTATAAACATCTATTTTACTGATTATAACTGCTGGCTATAGTCATATTCTATTACGTATTATTTGATTAATTAAATTAGATTAAAAGTAATAATAGCAAGTGAGTTACCGATTACATTTTTTTAATTAAAGAGAAGCAATATTTTATAGGGAGATTGGGACGAGTGTCATATATATTTTGTGTGTGTGTGTGTGTGTGTTTATTTTTGTGTGAATAATGATTTTTTTATATGAAAAAAAAAATGGATATAAGATTTTGAAATACTATATGTATGTCCCATAATTTTAAATAAATATTTCTAAAAGTGAAAGAGAATGGAATTTTGAACTAAAAGTTTCTTTCCTAATTTTAATTCAGACCATTATTTATCGAATTATTAACGATTAAAATTGATATATGTATATATCAATTAGATTGCGTCCATTTTATACAACAATTTAATATTATATTAGCAATCTACACAATAAAAAGGAGAGAATGCTCTGCTGAATATACTAATTGAGTTATTAACTTTTTAATAATCAATCTCGTATGACAACCGGCTCCGGTCTTTCCCAATTCAATAATAAATTTCTACGCAATAAATAAATTTTGAATAGCCACTAAATAAATAGGGTCAATCAATATGTAATATATAAAATAAATTGCTAGTAATAATTGTTTATTGTTCGTTATTTTATTTAAAATATTAAAAACGTTTTTCATTTTGACCAAGAAGCGTCTAATAAAAATTCATCGCGCAAACAGCCTAATTTCTTTTGGAATAGATGTTCGATATTGTTGAGGATTCAATATGCCAGTAGTTGAATATTATGTATATTCATAAGCTGCCAGTAAAAGAAATTCTCAGAGGAAGGCTAGGGTGGATATTGGTATAGAATTGAGATGAAAATCGACACGACTGTTAAAGCTTCAGTTTCAATCTAGCAAGCGATTGTAACAAATAAAATTCCTATAAATACTGTAAATGTTACAATGAAATATATATTTGCAAACATATATTCCGTGACGTTTAAATTTTTGCGAATTAAGTACCTATTAATTGATAACTTCTATTTACGAATTAATTAATAAGAAAAACGAATTAAGAAAACAATTTAATTAGTTGTTAATTTTTAAATGTAAGATTATTTAATTACTCATTACATGTGTCAGTTACTGTTCTTTTTTTATTTATCTAAAAATGAGATAATTTTATAATGTGAATGTTTTCTTACCTCCGCTTAAGCTCATTAATTGAGACACGATGAGAATTGGTACGTTCCATGTGAGACTGAGAGTCCACACAACAGCAATCATTTTGTAAGCGTGAAACTGTGTTTGCCATCGTCTCGATTTTAATGGTCGGCAAATGGCAAAGTAGCGTTCGAGCGAAATGGCAACCAGCGTCCAGACACCCACCGACACTGACACGGCTGGAAAAAGCGTATCATTTTAAATCGCATTGTGTTGTTCTATCGCAGACATATTACTGTTTTTGTAGTTATAGGACTGTTTTTGTTTTTAGTATTATCGTTTTTTGCAAAATTTGAGTCTGTCTCACGCAATAAAAAATTAATACGACTTTTGCGTGATACGAAGTATCGACAGCCGATGTAATACTTTTTTTCATACGATTTAGCTTGAAATTAAAAATACATCGATAAATTTAACTGTCTCGGAATATATAGGAAAGAAAAAGAAATATATTTTCAATTTCCTTTCGATGTAGGACAACATCAAACTAACTGTGAGAACACGTCCGATTGTTAGCAAAAAATTGTCGATGATGGAAAGGAGTTCGACATTCAATAATAGAATCGGAGGGTTGGAGCTAACTGTCTGAACCACTGGTGTACGTTACAAAAAATGAACGCACGTGACATGCACTCCTGCAGAGAACCGCATTTACTCCAGTCCACTTTCTTCTCTCCTATCAATTGTACAAAGGAATGGAGAGGTTTCGACTTAAATGTGTCGCCAAACAATTTTCACGACTTATAGTTTAAAGTACACAGATGTATGGAGTAAAAGAGGACTTTATGAGAAATCTTCCCGATGACCTCTAATCCAATTACAAAATCCTTTTGCGGCCATGACCTATTTACAATATATTTCATGTCAAGGTTATTAACAGGAAATTCTTATCAGCATGATAGATTATAAAGATTTTATTGAATATCCTTCACCTAATTGAAAAATTCATTATTCATTTATTGCAATTTAATCCGATTGTGCAACATCATCACGAAAGTGGATAGTACCATTGTGTGCTAGCAAAAGAATAAAATTAAAAATACGTATTAAATTGAAATTTAAAGCGCTTGCATTTATCTCTGTTTCTGGCGCACTAGTTTTTTAACACATTTTTTGGTTAATTCGATTTAACTTTTTCTTAGCAAAAATGTCGAAGAAAGTTATCTTTTGTCATAGTTTTGTAATTTTTTATAGATTTATATAAATACAATTTTAAAGTTAAACCAAAATTTTATTAAATCTTATTTAAAATTAATTAGAATTTTAATTCGTTCTTTGAAATTTATCACATCCTTTTTTTTACTGCATATTTGATACTGTCACTAAGGAAAATTTATTTCGATTTATTAAAGAATTTGTTGTTAAAAGATAAAATAGGATATTGTATGATTGCAGTCTATCCACCTACGTTGTAACTATTTTCAATTTTAAAGATACTTGTTCTTACCCACGTTTTAATTATTTTTAATTTTACTCTCTAAGTCTGAAAGTCAATAGTCACTAATTATCCAGTAGCATATTTGATACTAATAATTACTGAAGTTCAACTAAAAAAGGAAGAATGTTTACAACTAAAAGTATTATATAAAGAGTATTATATAATTAAAATATTGATATTTGCATGTTAATTTCAATCTTCCAATATTCATTGAATTTAAGTATAAAACAAGATTAGTTAGATCACATAATAAAGATTAACTAGGTTAAGAATCTCACATTTAATTCACTGATTACCAGGCGACATTCTTGGCATTGATATCAGTGATTATCCACTGGTTTAGAGTAAGAACACCGCACGTGCGCGCGCGCATTACAATATATGTATTTATTTTTGAGGAAATACAATTACTTCACTTGACAAAGATTTTTAGATTTTTTTATTCACTCGGTACCTTTACTGTCATTAAAATATGCCTACGTTTTCATTTAATTGGTAATTATTCATTCAATTATTCAAACAATTATGATTCTTATTGAAACATTTTCTCGTATTTCTGTCTGTTACCATACAGTAATTTCCGTTACTGCGTCATTAATTACGACATTTTTAATGGAATTTTATGAATAATTATTTCTTACTTTTTATACTGTTAAATTAAGAAAAAAATTTCATGGTGACTCATTAAAGATAGACAAACAAAGGAGTGACTATATTGTTAATTTACTTTAACTATAGCAAAAAGATTAATTATACACTTTGAAAGAACAGAGTATGTAAGGAATTTATTCGAAAGATAATTTGCATAGAACAGCTACGAAACAAAATTAGCATACTTGTTGTATTATGTTCTGTTACGTTGATTGTTCTTTCAAGAAGAAACCATCTTTTATGAATTATCTATTTTAAAAATGAAAATAGAAATAATATTTTTGGTATTTTTGAAGTACGAAATATTTAAGAACAAAATGATTGTTCTTTTATTATTGGTATTAATGTTTTTTTAAACATTGTTCTATATGTCATTTATTTTAGTAATTAAGTTAAAATTTTATACTTAAATTTTATACTTAAAATTTTATACTTAAATATATATACTTATAATTAATAATTAAAACACTTTTGTGCTACTTTAGAACTTTTAAACTAATCATCTTGCACAAATTCACCTAGTCGCTAGTTTTAATACATCGCTGCTCTTCGTCACTTTCATTTTTATTGATATAAATTACGAGAAAACATACGCCACATAAGATCAACGGACATACTAGGTGACTAAATCGAGAAAGACGTAAATCTTTTGAACATCGAGTAGAACGTCTTTTAGAGTACCAATGTGTTTCATAACCTTCCGCTGTTCTTCTTGAATATATTTCTTCGTATGCTTTCATATAGTAAGATGAAAGTGCATCTATTCATCCTAATACACTTGTAACCTTTACCACTGGGGATTTCATTCAGACCGCACCTCTATTTCCAAAAACCGAAAGAAAAACGTATTGCAAACAAAGTTATCTTAAATTATATATTTTTTTCCTTGAATAATACTATCAAGAACATTGGCTGTCACTTTCATTACGACAGGAGGGTATAATTGTAGAAGAAATTACGATATTTGTCACTTTTATATAACATCGTAATAAGTATTGTAATAACTTATACCTCAAATACGTATCGTTTCAGCCAAGCCAATCACGTTCTTATAAAAATTTGCATAAAGACCTTTGGATTTCGTGTTACCAACGCATATTAATCGACGTTATTAATGTACGAATTAATACGACTGCGGCACGGAGCTTGCTCATTATGTGAAAATAGTACACGTAATGTAGAAATTCTTCACGAACGTTTCGTTACATACTACGTTTCTATACATTATATGCTTTATTTATAAAAGGTCACAGTTAAAATCTCTTTGTTTTATATGTGAGTGAAAAGCGGAATGTTGCGAATTGGGTCGTTCCTAGACGGGATTGGCTACATATAATCCGTTACAATGGAGGAAGAGAGAGAGAGAGAGAGAGAGAGAGAGAGAGAGAGAGAGAGAGAGAGAAATGGGAAAGGGGAGAGAGATGATTATATTCTACGCTTACGTTACGATAAAAATGTCTTGAGAAAAGGAATATCTACGACATGACGAAAAACGTTCATGAGATTTCAATTTCAACGCAGATTTTGCCGGAAGAGATTATCCCACATATAACGTAACGTATCGCGTGTGTGTGTGTGTGTGTGTGTTCTCGAAAATCATGATTTTTTGTTTTATGAACAATCTATTGAAAAAAAATTTACAATTCACAGGAGTAAAACTTTTTATAAAATGGTGATACGCGACAACTTTTATATTTTTGATTCTGTTATTTATTTCTCTTAAATCATATATTCCAAATACATTGTATCTAACATTCAAGTTAATGTTAATGTTAGTAGAGTTACGTTTTGCGATATACCGTTTTACAGCTGCAATCGTATCGTATGATTTAAAAATTCAATATACAATAAAGATCAGAAGGAAGATATAAAAAGTAAGTGGCAGATGTAAAATATTGACAGAAAATATTAAATTCAACCAAACAGTACTGAACATTTCATCGGACCATATCTCTTATCTCACACCTGATTCCATTTAAATATCGGATCAAGAACATAAAACAAAACTTAATAGCGCGTTATATGCACCTGAAGAAGTATCCCGAGCGTAATAAAAGTTCTCGTGATCGTCGAAGTACGCACGATCATTTTCCTTTATCGGGGAACATTCGAGAAGCGATTTTGCGGGAACGATATCATCGGTGGTAGTTAAATTCCACGAACGCGAACGCAACGGTTATAATACAGCAGATATGCGTATGCACCAGAATTGTCTCTTTCGAAGCGATATCTCCCCACGACGGGAATTCGACTTCGAGTCCGCTGGCGCACATTAGTCATTCTCGTGGAACAACATAATTCCACAATATCCTATTGCCAAGCTCTTTAATACGGGAGTAATATTCAACGAGATTTAAATGCATCAGCATTTCGTGATACAATATATATATATATATATATATATATAAAATTTCTCTCAGTAATACATAAATAAGCTTTTTTTTAATTTTCGGTGTTCCTAAAATTTGATTATTTATTTTATTTCAGGGATGTACAATTGTATGTAAATAAATTAAATATTTAATTTATTTACACACTTAATAACGAGAATTATACATCCCTAAAATAAAGTATCAAATTTTAGAAGCACCGAAAATTAAAAAAAAGTTTACAAATAATATTATATGTAGACTCATAAATGAGAATAATTTATTATTTTAATTAATCGATGTGGAAATATTTAAATATTTTAATAGCCGATATATGTATCTCTCCGTTATATAATCATATCATTTTCAGATAAATGATACTTCAAAGAGTAATCCATACGAAAAATAAATAATCAATAATTAATCAGTATTTTAATGTTTGTGTTTTATGTAAAAGAGAATATTGCTTTACTACTAGGATTTGTGCAAATATATTAACTATATGAAATAGAAAACACGTATTACAAATGAAAATAAGAAATTTTTCGGAAGACAACAAAAATATTTTCAAATTTATTATTTTATGTTTTTGGTATAGACTATTATTAATAATTAATTACCACCTCACAGATAAATTATGTTATCATGTAGTATATATACACACTCGGAGAAATTATTACAGATACATATTTACTACTCACATATGTGAACTATGTTGCAACTTAGAGCATTAGATCATTGCAGTCACTTGTATATGCATTGCGCAATGATAATTTGCTGCTCGCTTAACAAATATATTACGTGTGACAACAACAGGCTTTTTGAGTGTCGTGTTGGTAACAGATTGACCATCATATCAAAGATATATAGTGGAATACGCGTATTTACATAAAATAGGTTTAAATTATTATATATATATATATATATATATATATATATATATATATCTATTAAAGAAGTTATATGCATTTAAGAATAAATTATATTCGCGTAAATAACAAATAACTTATATAATATTTATTATTTAATATACTTAATGATAACTTATTTAAGATATAAAGAATAACTTATATTTGCGTAATTTAAAAAAATTGATTTAATCAGCCTTAATAAATTGATGAGTACATGATTGTAACTCAATTATTAAAGTATATGAAATTTTACTAGTACTCCATGCATCATGACATTACTCGAAATGTTATTACGCATCGTTGAGAGTAACAAAGACTCGGTGGACGAGAATGTTTCTCTAATGGTGTTGCATTTTACCTAGCATTACCAGCGCTTTCCTTTCGATATGCGATCTTAAAATTGCATATAGTAGAAGCGATTTCCGTAAAAGCTCGGATACAAACTAGGTGTATACATAGTACTTTGACAACTGACTTATCAAAGTACCGTCGTATCTGTATACATTGTCATACTTTCAGGCGGAAATTCAATGTCAACGAAGATTTATGTCTCTGCGAACATTGAGAAATAAAAGAATTTAGAATCACGATAGATATTTGAAACGAAAAAGACATATGAATGTCATAATATATGCTTATAATCTCTTAATCAATATACAATATAACACAATTTTTATTTACTAGAAATTATTAAAAAATTATATTATGCGTAGTATACATGTATACAACTTAATATCAGAAGGAGAAAGAAGAATTTTTTGCGAAATATAAGGTTTTTTGAAAATTAAAATTGATAATTTATCTAGAAAAAGTTAATTTGTATAAAGAAAAATTAAATTAACGTATTTTATTTTGCAAGTAAATGACAAAAAACGGTGCTTTCTATTGCGTGATTATCTGAGCAATTGTGCTCCTTAATTGAATATTAAAGAGCTTTGGTGAAATAAAACAGAAGTTATGCACGGCGTAAAGTGTACAGTCTTAACTTGTACTCGATACTATCAATATTCTCTCTCTTTGATAGAAACAGATGAAAAGAAAAAGCATAAATAAATTACGGAAGTGAATCTTTCTCGAGTGATTTTTCTCGCGCAATCTTCCGCAGATTAAACCAAACCAAAGAAAACGAGCTATTCGCGGAAGACTAATTGGAAATTAAATTGGGAAATACATAGAAATTTATTTGTTATGTAGCAGGTGTGTTCAATTTCATGATAACGGCGCAGACTGTTGTTCACATAATCGATACAGTCAGTCATTGCTAGATTGAGATCATCTTGAACAACGAAAAGTTCATTTAAGCGTATTAATTTACACAAACGAAAAAATTAACTTTTTACAAATCTTTCTTAATGCATTTGCCTTTTTGTTATTTTTATTATTTATGATTGTCATTTAAACCTGCATATGTGTATACAATATAATGTATATACCTATATATGTATATAAAATATATTATATGTACATATATTTTATAAAATATATATGTATATGAATTCTATTTATATTTCTTTATAAAAGTACTTTTGTAATTATATAAATAAAAAAGCAGGACAGCTATTGTAACAAAACTATAACTGTATTTTTTAAATAAAAACTAAAATGGTTAAATTACTGGCGTGCTAGATTTCGCGTAACACGCATCTCTTTTATGAGAAAATGCTTGTAATTACGCCACTATTGTAGCATATATGCTAATATTTGTGCGTAATAAAATTATGAATTTGTATATTAAAATTAACTAGACTCCACTTTAAAATGCAATTGAAAATTCTAGAAATGTTTACGCAAAGATTAATAAAATTTTATTTTCGTTGATAAACCAAGCATGTATTTATGCTTGGATTACCAATGAAAATGAAATTTACGTATACCTGTATATATAAATTTTTGATTCTTTTGATGACGGTATATTCACATTTTTCGAAAATATTAAATTTATTAATTTATTCTGCCCACAGGAGTTGTTTCGACCGCTAAATTTTGAAATAAACAACAAAAAAGTATGGATCTAATATTTTTGCTTTATATGTCCAAAATCTATTAAAATCGGTGAAAGATAGTTTCCATAGGTTCCTTATAGATACTAAAAAATATGTCAAGACAGCTTTAACTTTAGCTCCATATAAACTTTGAATAAATAATTATTCGCTTACTAAGTAAATTAGCAGATTACCAATTTAGTATTTAGATTACCAGTATATTTAGATTACCAATCTTCAGCATTATTTAGTAGCAAAGTAACGATTTAATACATTTCTTAGAGCAGAAATCTTTTGCTACTACATGTTAACATGATTTAAAACGATTATTTTTATTTAATTGATAATCCCTTATTTAATAAATTTTCTACAATTTGTCTTGTAGAATATGGTATCTGAGAAAATAAACGATAAACAACATTTTTGTGATTTACATAATGCCGTACACGCGTATAGGGATTCGCGAAAATTCTTTTAACCCTACAACGACGAGATAATGGGACAAAAATTGGAGACATTCATTTCCAATAATATCCAATTTTTATGTTATCCTGAAAACAATGAACCGATGCTTACCTTGAAAATATGGTATTAGTTTGCACATTGTGAGACCGAAAACGAAATTCTTGAGAATTTGCCCCAGGAGAGTGAAGGGCATACAGAATACACCGAGCAAAAGATCCGATACAGCCTGAAACAGAGATTGGTAATAATTTGATTAATTGTTATTTCTAGTTCGCAAAAAATAAGAAATATCAGCGATCCGAACTGTTAAACATACAACATACAAACAGTTGTATTTGCAAGATGATCAAAACGTAATCAATAATTTATACCAAAATTTATTTCTCCGGATTTCATTTTGAGGAAGTGTGAAAACCATTATACGAGATGTTCAAACATCTTAGGCCAAAGTATGGTGGAAAGAAATAACCTTATCGTTTCTTCATTCGTGTACTTTCTCGACTAGTGAGGCTAAATAAAGGTGGTTCCGAGTCTAGGTCGATCGATCATCAGTAAACAATAAGAAAGTGGCTTTCAACGACACGATAAATTGGATGCTGGAAATTTTCAATTTTATTCGTAGCCGGAAGATTCAAGATTTGTTTGCATATTTTTAAATAATTGTTATATATTACATACATCTTTTTTTGTTTATACGTACATGAAAATTAATATAATGCGTGACGTAATGAATAGTTTTCTTCTTTCAAAGAAAGTATTTTTTTGTAACAAGACAAACTTTTAATTAAATTAAATGATCTTGGAAAGCGTGGGAGAAAGAGAAATCTTATTTTTCTTTTATTTAACGTTTATTTGTCTAATTTTAACAATGAAAAATTTTTCCTTTAGACACGTGACATAACTTGTTAAAAAAATTTAAATAAATAACTAGAACTACAAAGATCTTTGAAAGTAGACAGAGAGGATAAAAATATAAGAAAATAAAAACTGTTGCTAATGTGCAAAAAACAAGTATATAAGAATTGTACTGGATCAATATTGTTATTACGCAACCATGACTTTATATTAAATATTATTAAGTAGCTCTGAGCTTTCATTCAGTACTGTTTGATGTTCGAACTAAATAACATGTCAAATTAATATATAAAAAAATTGATATTTTTATAAAGATATATACATTAAATATACAATATGGCAAAAAGGAATAACATATCTGAAATAATTATTTTGGCATTACTAGCGATTGAAAATTTACACACTTTTATTTTTTTATGAACATAGAAAATGTTATTCCATAAAACATGGATAGAATAATTTAATGAATTTAAACATTTTAATAAAACATATAAGATGTTGTTTTTCGTACTGGATTAAAAAATAAGAAGAATAAAATAATATCAATATAAACGAAACCACTACGCGATTTATACTTAATGGCTTCGCCAAACTTTTATTCTTCGCGTTTTGCGGTCCAACTATTCTGCCAGGCAGAAAGTTGAAAAGTCACAAGTTTAATAAGTTTCCAAGTAGTCGGACGTAACACGTTTAAACGAAACAGTTACAAATTTTTTGTTAGAAGAATATTTAAACTTTTCAATCGTTTGTAAATTTTGATCTTCGCAAGATGCTATACATAATTCAATACATATCATACATTTTAAATTTAATAGTTTATATTAAAGACTAAATTTAATGAAAAAATTAAAATTAATTAAAATTAACTAATATTAACTAAATATTTCTAAAAATGTAACTTTACTCTATATTACTCGCTTTTACTTATCAATTACTTTTGAAAAACATTTTTAGAGGAAATCTAATATTAATTGAAATAAAATATGATAACTAAAAAATTTACGAGGATAAAGCGATAACAGAGATATAGGAGAGAAATTAGAATGTTTATATTCGATACCGATTTAACGATTTCGGTTGAGTAAAAAAATTGTGAGTATTTTGAAACGCAGAGACGTGTTATTTCAGCGTGATAAATATACAGCTTGTATCAATATTTACGTATTTACGCCATGTATCTCCTTCTACGCAAGAAACATCTATGAGAAATAGCGCGATAAGCGCAGATATATCATAATCCTGACTGCATTTTGCGAAATATGAATTGTTTCATATTACAGTTAGCATGTTCAAACGTCCAAAGGAGGTAAACAGAAATTATGGTTTTTGAACACGCTTCAACAATACAGTTATATTATAATTCTATGTTTATAATTCTATGTATTCCTACTATGTAAACACGTAGTTGTATTTTTTAAAGTGACATTGAGAGAAATATTACAAAATTGCATGAAAATTTTTATGAACGTCGTGACTATCTTCAGTATATAAACTCATAATATATTAAAAGAAATTTGTTCTTCTTCCATTGTGTACATATTTGAAAATGTTGTACAGCGAATGTTCAAGGTATGTGTCTTCATTTTCTAACTTTATCATATTAAGAAGAACGTTTTATTTTACAAAAAAATAAACAATAGATCTAACTAGTTTTAATTTACTTAAAATACAAATAATTCCAAATTAGAATAAAAGATTCTTATTGATTAGGATAGTTCTTTTATTCTAACATTGTCATGTAAGTGGCAGATTTTTTCAATGCGTTACAATCTTTTGGCTTGTCATACAATTGAGAATTTTATCTTGAGATATCCAAATTTCATAACTTTATTTGATTGTCGCGCGAAATGTAAGTACAACATTTAACATCTTGATTTTTTTTTTGTAAATTCGTTTTTTTTGTTTCGTTTTTTATTGTGTGTCTATGTATCGGTTTTTATATTTTATAAATAGATGAAATTTAGCTTCGTCATTAAATTAAGTTTATTTTCACGGCATATATTATATTTATTTAGCATTTTTAGTTTAAAAATCATATTACATATTATAACCGTTGCGTACAAATAATTCATGAAATATTTTAATGAATACCTACATTTTAATAAATACATACACATATATTGTATATGTCTTGTATACATATATATATATATATATGTACATATATATATATATAAACAATTTAATATTTATCAATATGTTTGCAATATGATTTTTGGAATAGTTAACATGAATATGGAATAATAAACTTACTTGTATAAATAAATGAAAATGTGGTATAATACAGTGTTATTCGAATATTGAATATCGATTTAAATACAATATATATAAAATTCTTCAATGATAATATTAAACCTTTCGGTATACCTTTTATAAGTTATATATGCATACAGATTTTTTAATAATATTAATGCATGCGCGTATATATTCTATATCATAGAATTAATTTTTAACGTGATATAGAAAAATTTAGTAGTTTGAAAAATCTACATTCATATGTGAAATCTAACTTCCTATTGTAATTGGCAAACATATAGTTTTATTTCAAGTGGGCAAAAGTTTTTGTTAAAAATTACAATACATTGAGTAGACTATAGTAGAAATGGACTATCTGAAATTCAATCTACCTGACAGCGTTAATTGATTTTTGTTCAGCGCAAGGAGAATTGATTTATCTATTTTATTTACTTTCCCGTGAGTTCATCACAAAATAAATGATTCTAATTGGGATTATTTACCAAAAAAGAAATAAAGCTTTATTCTCTCTCTGCCTCAGGATTTCTGATCAGACCAGACGTGTGGCGTTGTTAAACAAAAGAAATGTGAAAGCATTGAGTTTGCACACAGAAAAATCCAGCATTGAAATCGGAGTGCATACTTGTGTTTTTCATTCGAAAAAAAATATTTATTATATAGATTTTTTACGAGCACGAATTTCATTGAAAAAAATTCTCATTCAGCAGGTATCTATCTTATAAAAGCAAAATACAAAAAATTCAACCTTTTAATTTCTTGTGTTTATGAATTTATTATACAATATTAATAGGAAAAAATAAGAATAAGATGCAAATACTATAATTGTTTTAAATAACAGTAGATATAAAATACGTATTAATTTGGTGATAATAAATAAAAAAAATATATATATATATACTTTATTTATTAGCATTATTATTATATATTAAAAAAAATATATATATATATACTTTATTTATTAGAATTATTATTTATATCATATTTTTTATATCATAAATATACGATGTACAAGAAACAAGTTTTTTTTTAATTATATGAAGCAATGGAACTGATTTAATTGCAAGTAAGATATTGGTTAAATATTTTTAAAAATGTGTGAATTTATTGGCGCATCTCCGTTAAAGTGTATTGACGAAGAATCTTTCAAATTTCTTTCAAATGTCAGAAAAGCTTGTGAACAATTTGTCTATAAATCTATATCAAACAGCTTACTAAGCGAACAAATATTCCGTAGAGAAGCTATATTTTAGTCGGTAATTACTAAAGCAGAAATACGTACGTAAAAGTTAATGGGATTAGAACGTATATTACAGAAGATGCAGGATTACCCTTTATCGACAAAATTTGTATTTCGACTATAAAGAATATTCCATTAAATTTGCGTTTATCTCATACGCAAAATTTCATTTTTTTCTTAAGGTGAATTTTTTTCTTAAAAATACAATCACAAGTTCCTTTTAAGATAAAGTTTTATATATCCAATTAATGTTTTCAGTAAAATATCCAGCGCAATTAATGCATAAAAAACTCGTGGCTTTCTAGTAACATTTCTATTGTTTATATAACTCCCACGATTATTTTTCAATTTTATTTTATTTTATTTTAATTAATTTCTCCGTTTTTTCGTTACGATCGTGGGAATGTCATACACTTGTCACCTTTGGCAGTTAATTGTTAACTGACTCCTACACGCGAAATAGTTTTCGGCCCTTTCAATTGCCGACCCTCTGTCAGAGACAGATTCGAACCTTTACTTCCAATGATGAAATCAATGAAGCGAGATAGATTAAATTGAATGATGTACTAGAAATCTTGATTTGACAGAAATTTTATAGATAAATACCAATGCATTTTTATTAATTTTTATTTATCACAATGTTTTTAAATTTTTAAAATTTATCAAACAAATTTTATCTAAAAACTTAACGCACAATACAATTTAGAATAATAATTAAATATTAAGATAGATGATGCAATGTAATCTATTGACAGTAAATAGAAATAATAAAAAATATCTTAAATAACCGATATCTCTAAAAGTAATGAATGAGCATAATAAGACAAATGTGTGTTATACAACATGTGGGTATAGTCACTTTATTTTTTTAAATTGTT